GGTGCGGCGCGTCGATAATGGAAATGTTTACAGCTCCTGAAATACTACGTCTTAATTAGTTGTGGATTTCAAGTGTGTTTAAGCTATAATACTAATTACTCCCTGTGGTAGGGGGGCAGTAACTATTTTTTTTCATTTTTATTTTTGTTGTTGGTATGACTGGTCAGTGATTACGTCTAATGACAACATGATCTCCAAAGGGGTTTATGGTATTTGAGTGGAGGAGTTTGGTAATCAAGGTGACTTTTTCATCAAGGTATACATGAATTTCAATTAATTATTATACTTTTAATCGCTTGTTCGAGTGGACGCCAACCAAAACCTTAGATATATCTGTTCATATTTTGTATCCATATCGAATTTCATAACTAGAACTACTCATTGTCACCTTTTGGTATCCTTTTTAACATTTAATAAATTCGGTTAAAGGGTGAACAATCTAGCTCTAACGCCTCTAAATGAACACGAGACCTTTCATATAGTGTAAAAGTGAAATTAATTAAGTTGACGTTGAACATTTCTTTCCGAACCAAGAAGAAAAAAGTATTAATGTTATTTCGTAATTGATACAATAAGCATGAGGTAATCATGTTGATTAGTAACTTGGTGTGAAAGTCTGATCCAATATATGTTGTTTTCTTAATACTTAAAAAAAATTAGATTCCTTTGGATGCTAATATTCATATCTTTGATCTCTTTCTCGAAATCGAAAAGTAACTCTATATAAAGATAGTTGATCCTTATATTGTGCATTCTATTAGTAATACCATGAAAAAAGAAATCGAAATATAACTCTTTCTCGTAGATGAGAATATATAAAGATTGCAAACTTTTGAGGCGTGGTGCTAAGTGAAGAATTTAGCTTCTTCATCCACCTTTCATTTGAAAGTAAATTAACTTTCTTTCATGTAAGAAAAAATGGTTAAGGCTAGACGGCAGAATCAACGCAGTTTGTGCAACAAATCTAGGAGCGGCACTCGGGCTTTTGAAGATCATGCAATTTTACGAACTTAGCTAAAGTATGCGGTACCTTGATTACTGGTGTACTTGTCGTACGTATAAATTACGACGAATCAACATGCCCACATGAATGAAGAAACTAATAATAGATGAATTTGTCGAACTCCTTCGAGAAACTAGATTCAGTTCTACAAATCTAAAATTCTACTCCTTCCTTCCGTCATGAAATCAATATTCGGTTCGGATTTTCAACGTTAATGTAAATTAAATTAGAAATAAAAATTCAAATACAGAAAAATAGAAATAAAACTAGTATAAATTGAACCTAAAATATTATTATTATTATTATTATTATTATTATTATTATTATTATTATTATTATTTTGGTTAAAAACATTAGAAACATCAAAAATTTCAATTCAACGATCACAACTCAAAGGAAAGCGGGATATCATATATGATTCGCTGTCCCTCGTCACTTTTTGTTTTTCTACTCTGAACTTTGAAGAACTATCTCCACGTACCAAAAAAAAGAGACCTAAAAAAGGGATTACGAAATCTGAAAGTGCCGGGTCACCACGGTCACCTACCATACTACATATTTTGTTCTAATTTGCTAATGATGGTGGCAAATCTCGATCTATCCGGTCACTTTTCATCACCTTTTCCCCCCTCTTTTGTTTACCTAATTAAACAAACCAAAATGTCTTCCATTGGTGACACTTCACTTGAGAACTCCCGTGTATGTGTTACAATTATGAGAAGTGATTAAATTTTTTACGTCACCGACTTTCAGAAATGTGATAATGATTTCACGTACTAGCAAGTTAAAACAATAAAACTAATTAACAAGAACACTAACCACCACCACCACCACCACCTTAGTGAATCAGTTGGCCAATACAAACGGCGCACTCAGTTCTTGTTATTGTTGTGAAGGCGTTGAAGGAGGTTTTACGGTTTACGAGTCATTCAAAATTGTGAAATTTTTCAGTTTGTATAAAGGGTGTAATTAGTTAATATTGTTTTTCCTAGAAGTAGTGTTGTCCATCCCAAATGCTCACATTATTAGCCATTTATGGAACTCTACTAAACACATTAACATTTGTTTCACAAAGCATAAGTGGTAGTATAGAATATACTTCCCCAATGTCGCAGTCAAGTTGGTAGAGATCATTTCATTCTGAAATTCACTGAAAATACCAACTCAAAAGAAACAGATGGCTTATTTGTATGAATTAAGGACAAATATTTTTGTGAAGCAGAGATGGATGGCTTTCAAGAAATACGGCCGCGCACGTTATGCATGGGAGAATCATTTCCTTGTTGCTCTCTTTCGTCGGCGCTTAGTGGTGGGGTGAGCTTAATGAACCATTCCTTCATTCATCACCTCTTTCGTATTTACATTACTTTGTTTTTCCTTCTTCTTGTTTTCCGTTTTCGGTTATTTTTTACTATTTCCAAATGAGAATTGAGTTAAACCCATTAAAACGATATTTGTTTTTTTTTTATATAAACTTAAATAAATATATAGAGAGACAAGTTTGGGTCTTTTCCCTAAAAAATTTAATTAAAATAAAGGTGGACAAATTTAAATTTTTCCTAATATTTGTGGACAGGAATATATCCCACGAATTTCAGAAATCCGAGTTATAATTAAAATTAAACATTCGGATTTCAGAAATCCGAATCTATATTTAATAATAAAATAATAACTAAATAAATTTTGTTGGATAATAGTTTTTAAAAAATCTTACATGAACAATGCCGTTCGGATTTGCGTAATCTGAGTCCCAATAAAAAATAATAAATTGATGCATGAAATATTTGAACTCAAATAAGGAGGAGTCCAGGACCTGGACTCCTTAAATAAACAGTAGTCGGAAATCCGAGTTCTCAAAAAGAAAAAAATAAAATAAAATCAAAGCGCGATTTTTGAAATAAAAAAACTGGAATACCGTAATCCGGTTACATGTATTAGTGTTATGTATTATTTGTCAGTACTAGTATTATGTAGTACATTAATATTATTACTCATTATACATTATTGATGCTATTGTTATTTATTACTGTTAAATCTGTTAGTCATTATATATTATCATTAATTCAGTATAATTTATCTGTACTAGTGTAATGTACTATTTGTACGTACTAGTATTATGTAGTACATTAATACTAATACACATTATACATTATTGGTACTATTGTTATTTATACTGTTAAATCTGTTAGTCATTATATATTATCACAAAAACAGTATAATTTATCTGTACTAGTGTTATGTACTATTGTACGTACTAGTATTATGTAGTACATTAATACTAATACCCATTATACATTATTGATACTAGTGTTACTTATTACTGTTAAATCTATTAGTTATTAGATATTATCATAAATTCAGTATAATTCATCTGTACTAGTGTTATGTACTATTTGTACGTACTAGTATTATGTAGTACATTATTACTAATACCCATCATTATTTGTACTAGTGTTACTTATTACTGTCAAATCTATTAGGTATTAGATATTATCATAAATTCAGTATAATTCATCTGTATCAGTGTAGTACATTAATACTAATACTCATTATACATTAGTGGTATTACTGTTATTTATTATTATTAAATCTGTTAGTTATTAAATATTATCATTAATTCAGTATAATCTATCTGTACTACTGTTATGTACCTTTTAAGAAAATAATCGCATTTTCAGAATCTGAGTCAAGCAAAAAATTAAATTTCTAAAATAAAGCCATAGGGTTTAGGGTTTAACCTCGGATTTCCCAAATCCAAGTGTTACTTATACTCGGATTACCAAACTCCGAGTATAACCTATAAACGGATTACCAAAATTCGAGTGCAACATGTACTTGGATTACCAAAATCCGAGTGTAACATTTACTCGGATTTAGGGTTTAGGGTTTAGGTTCGGATTTCTAAAATCCGAGTTTATCAGGGAAACATGGAAGAGACGGATTTTGAAAATCCGATTCGTGTCCAAAAATTTACCAACACTTGTACAAAAAAAATTTTCTTTAAAAATTAATATTTTAATCATAAAGTCGGATTTCAAAAATCCGAATTATGATTAATTATGACAGATGAAAAATTTACTTAGTTTTTAATTTTAATTAAAATGAATTCGGATTTTCAAAATCCGTTTTCTATTAAATTCAGATTTTCGAAATCCGAATTTACCCCGCATTTAGATTTTGAAAATCCGAAGGATATAGATTTATCCACAAAAATTTCAAAAAAATTAATTTGATCTATTTTTTTTAAAGAAAATTTTTGAGGTAAAAAACTCAGACAAGTTTAAGATCATAGGGGTGTGTATAAGTGGCCGACATAGAAGACGCGATGGGCCATTAAGTGCAGTTGAGGGAACACGTGGACCATGGCATGGTTGAAGGTCCGATTTTTGGTGGGCTTTGTTGACACTTTTGCCATTATGTCTTGAAGATTTTCTGTCGGTATGGCTTTCATTATCTCAGCAAATCACAACACTAAACTCCCCAAAATTATACCACGTCTTATGATTCTCACACTACGTACAAGTCCCAAATTTAATCTTTGTTTAACCAACGAGTAGATAAAATAAGCTGCACTTCACTAAGGTATTCAAAGTATAGGTAATATACTCATTCCGTAACAAAATAATCGAACTAACATTCTGAAAGAAAAAGAAAATTATGCAAATAAAATATGTAACATCCAAATATTCTGAAATTGTCAATTGACAAACTTACATGGTTAATGATAATGGTCAAGGTTACACTAGAAACTGTAAAAAGTGAATTGATTTGGGTCTTGGTGACATAGAGCAATCAAAATATAAGTAGTAGTAGTAGTAGTAGTAGTAGTACTAGTACACAAGTATATAATTAGAGTAGAATAACTAACGCTTGTATCACACGGTGCAATTAAGAGAAGCTAGAGGGGTTTATTAGCGGAAACAGCGCGTGGAATTAAGACTACCCCTGTTACATACACTATTTTTACTTAAAAATACATTATTGGATATCATAACATGGGGGGCAAATTAAATTAATTGAAGAATAGAAGAAGACCAATCTCTCTCTCTCTCTCTCTCTCTCGTCAAAGGCAGGGAAATGAAATGAAATAAAATTACCGAAAAAAAAAATGGATTTAATGCTGACGTGCCATTTCTTTACGGCCACAACAACTATAAAAGGAGATGCAAAATGGAATGCCAGATAGCAACCTCCTACCAATTTCTCCAAAATCTCTCACTCCCACCATTTTTTTTTTTTTTTCCTTCAGAGACTTTTCCTTGGAATCTCAGAATTCTTTTTTCTGTCTCTCTTTTGTAATCGGTTCCTTGTTCTCCTGTTAATTCTCTTCTTTCTTCTATAACAAAAATCTTTGCCTTTGATCTCCCCAAAATATACATACAGAAATGAAGCTACTCTCAAAGAAAGCCACATGCAATTCCCACGGACAAGACTCATCGTACTTCTTAGGATGGCAAGAGTATGAGAAGAACCCATATGATGAAGTCAAGAATCCCACCGGAATCATTCAGATGGGTCTTGCAGAGAATCAGGTTGGTTGTTTTAATCATTTGGGTTGAATTTTTTTGTTGATTCCTATTGTCTCTTTTTATGGTAGATAAATAAAGTACTGGTTTTTAACATTCTCCCCTTAATTTTTTTTTTAACAGCTATCCTTTGATTTACTTGAGTCTTGGCTGGCGGAAAACCCGGATGCCAGTAGCTTCAAGAGAAATGGAGAGTCCATATTCAGGGAGCTGGCTCTTTTCCAAGACTATCATGGCCTGCCTGCATTCAAAAAGGCGTTGGCTGAGTTCATGGAAGAAATCCGAGGAAACAAAGCCAGCTTTGATCCCAACAATCTGGTCTTAACCGCGGGAGCCACTTCAGCCAACGAGACCCTCATGTTCTGCTTAGCTGAAGCCGGCGACGCTTTCCTCCTTCCCACTCCTTATTACCCTGGGTAAGTCGTCCGAGCTACTAATAATTGATTATATTACAATTTTCCAAAAAAAAAAAAAAAAGTCGCTTTCCCGTAGTATATATACTACACTATTTGTCACGTGCCCCATGGCTAATGAAATAAATGCAAAAACCACATTATGCAGATTTGATAGGGACCTCAAGTGGAGAACTGGGGTTGAAATTGTTCCAATTCAGTGCCACAGCTCTAATAATTTCCAAATCACCGAATCCGCCCTGGAGGAAGCTTACAACCAGGCCCGAAAGCAGAATCTTCGAGTCAAAGGCGTTCTGGTGACGAACCCGTCAAACCCATTGGGCACAACATTGACCCGCAACGAACTCAATCTCCTCGTCAGTTTCGTGGACTCCAAGAATATCCACCTCATCAGCGATGAGATATACTCCGGCACTGTTTTTAACACCCCGGGTTTCGTCAGCGTGATGGAAGTTTTATCGGACCGAAACTTGGCCAACACTCCAGTCTGGGATCGGGTCCACGTTGTTTACAGCCTTTCCAAAGATCTGGGACTTCCCGGTTTTCGAGTTGGAGCTATTTATTCCAACGACAACATGGTTGTGGCTGCAGCGACGAAGATGTCGAGCTTCGGGTTGGTTTCATCCCAGACTCAGTACTTACTCTCCGCCATGCTTTCGGACAAGAAGTTCACCAAATATTACGTGTCCGAGAATCAGAGACGGCTGAAGAACCGGCATGCGAAGCTGGTCAAAGGTCTGGAAAGCGCGGGAATTAAGTGCCTGGAAAGCAATGCGGGTTTGTTTTGCTGGGTTGACATGAGGCATCTGTTACGGAACAACAAGAGCTTTGACTCGGAGATGGAGCTGTGGAAAAAGATAGTGTACGAGGTCGGGTTAAATATCTCGCCCGGGTCATCGTGCCATTGTACCGAACCGGGTTGGTTTCGTGTGTGCTTTGCCAACATGTCGGAAGAAACGCTGGAGCTGGCCATCCAAAGGATAAAGGATTTTGTTCTGATGGCAACCGCCACCAAATTATCGCCAACCAAAATTAATCATCATCCTAGTCATCATCATCATCATCATCATCATCATCTCTGTCGTTCTTCCAACAAGAATTCAGGACGAAAGTCTTCTTCTCTCACTAAGTGGGTTTTTCGGCTGTCGTTTCATGACCGTGGTGAAAATGAACGATAAGTCTGGAGGCTGGTCTTTCCTCGTCCTGGGCTCTCTTGTGTCTGAACGCATAGTCCATCCATCCCTTAATTTGACCCCCATCATATCTTCTTTAATTTTTTTTACAAATTTTTATTTTTTTTACTCAATATTCATATATGTTGAGTTTAAGGTACAAATTTTGTATCCAGTATATTAGTATTATATATGTAGAGAGAAAAAGAGATTAATTAGTGAGAGTGCACTCTATCCCCATGTGGATGGTAGTGGTTAATTATTACTACTTGCTTCATTTATTTTTGTAAAATCTATTGAAGTCTTCCCAGATATATTAATTTGTTATCATTGTTGCTTAAGTTAATCTTTGTTGCTTTTGCTCCCTTTTCTCCTTAGAATTTCGTGATAGACATTGATTGGTCAAAGTAATCTACATTAATTAGAACATTGATTGTTGCAAGTATACTTAACAGTTTGATTAGTATTGACTAACATTGGGATCAGGAAACGGTTACGGTGACTAATTAACACACACTATGAAGAGAGATTAATTTTCGGAGGCTCGAAAATCCAGTTGGAATAATTTGAAATCTAACGAAGCAGAAGCACCGGGTAGGATGGGGAGGGATAGAATGACGCCGACATTAAGAGATTGGCCGGCTGGATCTTCCATCGGATAACATGGAATGCGTGTCAACCGACCTTTCTTCTAATGTTAACACAGAGTTTTTCTGACTTTTTTTAAGCCGTATAATTAAGCAGCAACCTTGTTTGTGGGACAGACATGTAAATGTAATAAAGTCGAAAATCGGTTTGTGCTTCTTTTGAAATTGCATTTTTGGTTAGGGTTTTCCTTGGAGCGTTTCTATGACAAATAAAGAAAATATTACTGTCATGTGGAAAACCCTGGCTTTAATATTCCCTGTCCTCTATGCCTAATCTTGCACCAAATTAACGAAAGGGATGATCAAAACCTCAGGAAACAAAGTGGAAATGAGTTAAAAAGTTTGATAGTTTCTTAAGTTAGCACAATAACGTCATTACTTACCTTTTGTAATTTGGACTTTTTTTCATTTTAAGGATTTTACCATTTGTTTTAAAATTGGCACGCGGTTTTGCCTGAAAAAAGTTCCTTCACGTGACCGCACCTTAGGGTCGGTGGAAGTTTTAGTAACGAGGGAGAGGCGTCATTCTCCATTTTAAGGACAGTGATTAGATGGTTAGAAACAACCTAAGCAAGTTTTCTCCTCTAATGGAAAGTAATAGGTGGTCGCATTTTGCGCAATCAACAAGACTTAACTAAAATGCATAGTGTGTGCCTTAATTTGCTTGTAAACACATTTGATTTTATACATTGGATTTAGAGTCAAGTCACTCTCTACCGGTAGTATCTTTGCTTTTTTCCTTTTTTTCCCCTTTTATCCATGAAAATTGGAATTGCATCGAATTAAACTGATTGATCAGATGCTATGCGTGTCCAATAGAAATGTCTCTTCTTTTCCTCTTTTTTTTGGGGGTTTATCTGTTTCTTTTACTGAAATGAAATGAAGACAAAAAAAAGAAGAAGCTCATAACAGATTACACAACAATTTTACAAGAATATACAACTCTGATATATGATAATAATGCAACCAATTATCTAACGTGGTAGATGACTTGACAAACTGATCAAGTTTATTAAACATTGGCCAGTAACTTACATAAATCAGCTAAAAATATCGTATAATTTATTTGATTGTAAAACTAACTTTGTACCAAGAACACAAATGATATTTAGTTTTTACTAAGAATACAAGTGGTTTTTGTACCCAAAAAAACAATAATTAATACTCATGTTCTGCTATTAAGAAGATGAGACTACGGTGGGAAATAAAGTACTAACAAGAAACCAACATATAAATACTTACACCATATTACTACTGCAGTTTAAGATAGCGCGCTGCAATTTTTTTTTTTTTTAACTTGTAAATATCAGATGCTATGGTTTATTTTAACTTTTAATCTCTATGAAGAGAAGTAGAGAACTACGTCCGAAACACATTCAGATTTTCTCCCTCAGATTTGAAATCTCAATAGAAGGACAATTCACCTTTCCTTTTTATTTATTTATTTATTTTTTTTAAAAAAAAACCTTTCCTTTTCAGTTCAATAGAAAATTTAGATTCGTTTAATTGCATGACAAATTGACAATAATTGGAAGTTGTAACCATCTTATATTAGAATGCATTTTTTTTTAATAGAAATCCGGTACGAGCAATGATTTGGGAATCATATGGAAATGATTTTTCATTAAACTAAGACTAGCATAATTAATGTAGAAAGACTTAGATATCTAGATTTCAACTTGAACACAATTTTATTCAATGCTCCTCATAGAAAACATATATACAGTTTCTTCAATGACAACACTCAGAAATTTTCAAATCTAACTTTGACCCTGTATTTTGCAAAATCTCGAATGGATCTTCCAATCAAAACTCACTTACGTGACAGATGCCTTATGATGTAATTACTCTAACTTGATCATAATTAATGGTCAGTCGTATATATGAATCTATCACAGTAGAATATTTCAATTGAACTATAAACCGGCCAAATTAACAAACAAACTGATCAAATAATTAAGATACACCTATTTCATATGGATGGCTCTAAAAGGTATCTCGTCGCCCTAATTTCCCGCTAATGTTTGAACCAAAAAACGCGCACCATACCCGTTGATTATCAATGATAGGAGTAGCTGCATAACTGCATGTGAAATAGGTCAAATTCTTCACATTCTGTTTTATATTCCCAACTCCGAAGATATGTCATTAGTTATTAATTGGATCATGTGATCTAGTTTGGTAGCACAGAGGAAGCTAATAATAATTATAGGCTTGTGAATTTTAGAAACTCTGAGACCCGAATATTGGTCTTTCCATGTTCTTTTTGACTAGTAGTAACATGTGCCGGAGAATTCGACCTTAAGAATTAATGATCGAATTGTTGACAGGAATCAGGAGAGAGTCCATCTTTTCTGAGATTCTGGATCTGTTGAATTGTATCAACTTTAGGTTGCATTGTGGCCAGTAGGGGAAGACTAATCTCGTTCTATATATTCTTTTCATAACTCTGCCATTGGAGAAATCTTATGCCAATCAGCCAATCATAATCCACCTTTTTTTTTCTGCATTATTTCGAATTATGGCATTTTAATTTGGAATACCCATAGGGCTTATATATTGATACTCAGAGTCTTCCAACACCGATGTGGGATTGAAATCTTTAATATCAAACTTCTAGCAATTGTTAAAGTTATTAACTGAAACTACACGTTTCAGACAAGGGGGAGGCAATAGATTGATTTATTAATTAATTGGCAAAGATATGGATATGTTGTATTTCGAATCAAGGCATCCCTAATGAGTGTTCCATCCGAGATGTCTAGAATTCAGCGGCGGAATAGCGTTGCCATTGTGGCCTTGCAATTATTGATAAAAAGGAAAAGAAAGATGAAAGAACATAATTCAGACTTTTGAGCAGATTTTACTTATTCAATCTCCCCAATCACCAATAAAATGGGAAGGGTTCGTATCAAAAGTTCCATGTCAGTACTACTTAATTGACTTCGATTCGATCCGTAACAAATACTAAAAAGCAAGCAAGCGAAGCAATGTAACTTTCACCAAAGAATCTAGAAATTATTGTGTCTTATCTAGCTGCATGTTGTCAAATCCATAAGCATGTAATTAATGGTAGATTTGTTTTGCATGTCAACATGGAAGACAAGTTCAAGACACGATTACCTGTGACGAAAGGTATGTTGTTTTGTTTCACGCCAACAAAGAAAATATTTACCAAAAAAAAGAGAGAAAAGAAGAAGAATAAAAAGAAAACTTTTATATGTAACATTTTGGAGACAGTTAATATTGTCAATCATTGCGTACCCTCCTACAAATCGGGCTTACTCCAAGAGATAAATTATATGTTCTACAGGCAGTTTGGCTAGTACTTACCACTTAGGTCAATACTACTCGTTCGGATTCGGAATCCTTTTCGTGAGGATCTGACAAGATTATTCAAAACTATTAAGCTAGAGAGCTTTTCTTTGCTTGGCATTATCGAGTTAAGCTGTTACTAGTTTCGTGAATTTCGCAATGAATCATGGCATGCAGGAAGAGGCGAATTGAAAACGTAAAATGAAATAGTTTATAATATAATTAACATGAATTATCACACCAGGAGAAAATTGCTACGATCTTATTACAAGCATAATTTATAAGCAAGCGGTTTAATAATGTCATTTATGGGGTCACATTTAAAGTCTGACAATAATTTTATTCATGTAAATTCCAAATGGATGAAACCATCCAAATTACTGCATGGAAATCTATCGTCTACATATACACATGATATATGATCATCATTCAAGTTAACATTGCCATAACTTATTACTTCCATTCGTAAATTGATCTTTTTGTAGGAAATCAACAAACCTTGGCGACTTTGGGATTATTTTGATGTAGGAGTAAATTAAATGATGGCTGGACAAGACCACATAGGTTTGTGTGGGATGGGGTGTCATGTGGGTTTCACATGAAAATCATCCATCAAAGCACATGGTGAGGAACAGAGAACATCTGCATGCGTTGTGTATAAATTTATATACTTAGATGTAAAAAATAATGTCTAATTTATTGTACTCTTTAATGTCAACTATTATTCTGAAAATAAGATAATTATTTTCGGATCGAAATAATATACATCAAACTATATGTATATATATATATATATATATATATATTTCAAAGCCCGTGCGAGTGGGGATAATTGGGGGATGGTGAGGGTAGGGTTTATCCTCGTGCTTCATTGACGTGAACATGAAAGGCCAATTGAACATGACATCTTGTATGAAGACTATGAAACCGTAACCCATCCCCCCATACCTTGGACTTTTAATTCAGGCGGACCCTAATGGACCGTCAGGCGGAACAGGCAGTGGGCCGGTCCGGTCTAAGTTTCTAGAGTCTAGACTTATTTTTCAATGATTGATTCCGAGTGGGATTATTATGATTCACCATGCAGCTTTAATTTCCTTTTCCTGAAATGCTCACTCACTAATTTAGTTACTACTACTTATCGCTTTCATTTCATTGTCAGTCAAATATATGGACGGCCAATTTTAATTTTGTTAGCCATTCACGCGGATTTATATCTTCCATTTTGGTGTTATGTTGTGCTTTTATTAACATTATTACTGTCTTCAAATGCAATGGATCATAGTGTACAATATATTTTTTGAATTCTGTAACCCACCCTTTCAGTATTATTATTATTATTATTATTATTATTATTATTATTATTATTATTATTATACTCCATTTGTTCTAAAAAAAAATAATTTACATTTGAGTTTTAAATTTATATAATCTTTGTCCCAAAAAAATACTTCAATTTTAGAAATATAAATGTAAAACTTGGATTATGTATAACCTAAAATTGATTATTAAATTTATGAATAAACATGAAATTTTATTCAATTTTTCATATTAAATTCGTAATTTGCAAGATTAAGTCATCTAAATTTTATATTTTAAGTTTCAAATTGCTGGGATGGCGCTAGTGCTATTTATTATTGGAACGGAGGTACTCCTTATTCCTGAGGGTTGATTATTGTTGATTAGTAATGGTGCACGCGAAAAATTATGACAAGTTTTGGGCTTCAAGTTTGAAAGTTTTAGGCCTGTAGTCTGTTGAGATCAGATGGGCTTCGGTGGAGGCAACTAGCATTATTTTTAATACAAGTATTTAATTTTCTCTCGGGTTGAAGAACGCCTGAGATTTAGGTTTTAGGAGTCTAATAAAAATTATTAACTCTCTAAAGGTGTTTAAATTTTTGACAGAGGAAAATTCTTCTTTTTTAAATAGTAATGTTTTTCACAAGTTTAAAATGTTACAAAAGCTCAATAAACATCTAGTACAATTCGACAATAAAGAGGTAATACTTTATCTATAAATAACAGTCAATACATCACAATCAAGATACGCAATCTATCACACAATTTACTACTCATACACTCTTTAAAACTCTTTTTTTGACTTAAACATCAAAATGTCTGCCTTTGAGAGTTATTGCAGAAGTAGAGCGATTCGGCCAATGATAAAATTTCGGCTTCGTCACTTACAATCTTTGCAATAAATTGTAAAAAAAAAATGTGGATAACAAACGAGAAAACTATTCCCAACGTAGAAAAAAGGAGCGTAAACAATAGAATGGGCAAATTGTGTACTTTCTTTGTTCAAGAATTGAATTCAATTGAATTAGGTCAACCCTTTCATTGATAGCACGTTGATTATTCAGAAAACCAGCGGATTCTAAAGGACTCGTCACTTCCTGACAACCTTTTTTCGGGCAGACAACTTCAGTACGATGGAAATTACATTTACATTGGTGGATTTGTAAGAAAACTTCGCTCTTAATATAAAAAAAACTTCCTATTTTTCCTTCCCAAAAATCAGTCAATTTAGTTAATATATTTTTAGCTTTTTCAATTGGTTAAAAGTTAGGAATTTTTTTTTTTCGATATTTAATGAATTTTTTTAAAAAAATTAAAATATTTATTTTACTTTTGAACTGATTTAATATCGTATATTTGCTCGGCGGGAACATCTAGTACCGACCGATGATAACTCGTAGCCTCCAGTAAATAATTTGACAGCAGGAGGTTGGAAAATCACTTCCCCGAGTGGCCTAGTAATCCAGATTAAATCGCATCCTTTATGGCATTGACTGACGCCATTACAAAGCTGAAGCATATACTTGCTCGTATGGAATTGAACATGTTCAGATCTACACTGGGAATTATGTATTGTTTCTGATCCAAAAAAAAAAAAAAATGTTAAATAAATAAAGAGCCACCACTTAGGATTTTGGTAGAACCGAATAAGCAACAAATGGAATAGTATGGAAATCATGTACTGGAATCATGAACCAAAGGGCTAAGACTAAATCATCGTGCGACAAATGAAGAGTTAAATTTAAGCATGTAACAAATGATGTTGATCGGATTGTGAGAACTAGCTCTTCAATGTGTCAGCTGACGAACTACACTCTATTTGATTTTGAGGGTAGGTCTTTGCTCTACTTTGGAAAATAACTCTATCTTGTATCAGTTTGTCACTATTCTTGACTTAGCTTCATACGCCAATTCATCCCACTCAATTATTCTACTGAAAGAAACCATTACAAACCATTATTCTACTGAAAGTTTTTATAATGAATGCAAGTGGTCTTTGTATCAAAATGTTGCTCCGGACTCCAGTATATTTTTTTAGCACAGCAAATAAAATAATCAATCACAGATCGATGGAGTATATAGGATAAAGGTGTAGACCAATCACGCATTCACCAGAAAATGCATTATTAAATACTGCCCCCGACACTTATTATAAGACATTTTAATTTTGTCCTAGGTTTCGCCTTGGATATCTTTTTAATTAGAGAAAAAACATTAAATATATATATATATATATAGATATTCACATTTGTTTTAATCTCCTAATCATTAGGATATATTTTAATGGTTTTTATTCTAATTAAAAAGACATCCTAGGTTCAAAATGCTTTATAATAAGGACCGGAGGGAGTACGAAACAAGCAGATTACTTTATAACTTTGTTTATTCTTTTTTTTTTTTTTCAGAGAGTAGGTTAATTATTCGGGAACTTAAAATCAAAGTTACAGCAATGACTATCTTTCCAATGAACAATACATATATTCCACAGAAGGAACTACTAGTTAAGCCTAACAATCCAGTCCATTTTATCCCCTGTCACTCCCATCTGCAGACTTGTTAATGCAGAATACAGTTGCTGTGCCACAGGGCCGGTTCCACCTTTTCCATAGGTAACCCTACACAAGATCAATCAGACACCATTTCTAATTAGCAAGTTTTTCCAGAATGACATTAATTTCACCAAAGAGAACCGGCTTTTTAAGAGATGCAGTTAGATTGTAAAAACTCAATAATACTCAATTCATAAGAGGAGAGAACACATGTTGTACTTGTAGCAGAACTCCAATGTAAGATACATACTATTAGACCGTCAGAAACACATCCCTCCAACTCCGTTAAGAAGAGATAAAACTAAGCAGAAGAGTTTTATTATTAGTATTACCTTTGATCAAGATAAGTTATGCTTCCAACGGGAGACACCACAACAGCTGTTCCTGTGCAGAATACTTCATCAGCTTCAAGTAACTCATCCACTGTTACCGCCCCTTCCTCAACCTACATTCACATGCTAAACTATCTCAAAATTCAAACGTTTTTTCCGGGTTAACTCTGGTTCTTCTTTCGTCCCAAAATGATTACACAGTTTAGATTTTCATTCTTAGTATCAAAACAGAACCATCGTTTTGAGACAAAAAGGAGTAAATAATAACTTGTAACATAGATGTATGATCAACCTGAAAGCCTAGGCCACGAGCAATATCTATAATGCTCTTCCGTGTAATCCCAGGCAGAATGGTTCCTTTTATTGCAGGGGTACATATCTTATTTTGCTGTCAAATTTTAGGTAACATGAGTAATAAATTAACTTGAAAAAAAAAAGAAGATAATTAAGGCATTCGATCGGAATGAAAGACAACTAAATTGAGTAAATTAGTGGTATATAAGGCATACCTTGACTACAAAAACATTGCAAGAGGAGACCTCTTCTACGTATTTGTTGTGAACACTATCCAGGTACAGGACATCAGAATATCCTTTTGATTTCGCTTCAGTCTGAGCCTTTAGGACCTGTGTAAAATCAGCCAGCAGTTTTTCCCAGACAATTAAAATTTCTTAATCCTCCCAACACAGAAATATGTACCATATCATGATGTAATCAGAAAGCCAAAAATGTTAGGCTCACCGCTGCGTAATTACCAACAGTTTTCACGCCTCCAGTACCACCAGGGGAGGCACGATGCATATTAGTCTCAACTATTAGATTTATTGGTGATAAACCTTCCTGAGATTCCAATATCATCATTTGTAAACGTCAAAAAGAATGTCAGAAAGATCAAAAAAAAAAAAATTTGACATTGAAAAAATGAATGCCTAAAAACAGACAATACCTTAAAATAGTTACCAACAGGAGATGCATAAACTAAGAATGTAAATTCCGGAGCCGGTGCAACACCAAGCACAGATCCGCTTCCAATTAGCAATGGTCGAATGTATAAAGAACCTTTACCAGCTGGAGGAATCTGCCAAAAGAGATCAAGCCAGCCCAAATAAAACAAAAAAAAAAAACAAACCTTCTGGTGAGCACACCGTTCAATAAGATACTCCCTATATATGTCCCAAAAAAAGTAGTCCAGCAGGAATACTACATATGAAAAATTATGCATGGTAACTTTACGTACCCATCTCTCATTAGCTAAAACCGTATATTTTACAGCTTCCAGAAACTGTTCAATGGTTGGAGAGGGCATGCACAGACGCTCAGCGCCAGACCTTAACCTCAGAGCATTTTCCTCAGGACGAAATAGTAAAATGCTGCCATCCTGTTTTCTGTAGGCTTTCAAACCTTCAAACAGTCCCTGTAATAATATAAACTATCATCATCATTAATTAAGCAAACACCCTCATTCTCAGATTATTAAAAAATAAAAATAAAAAAATAGTTCATGTATATATATACACGAGAGATTAAAATTAATCAACCTGTCCGTAATTTAGTATCCCTGCAGACGGGCTCAATTCTATGTTTCCAAAACGCTGCAATTCACCGTCCGAAAAGGTGTCACCTTGACAACACTTCATGACGTACATATAATCGGTGGGAGTGAAGGCGAACCCAAGATTGTCCCAATCGACGTCCTTTACTACTTGATCAGAGCTGCATTCATAAATTTTGTTTACAAATAATCCAATTAAATAAATAAAAACTCATGCATTAAAATTGAAGAAGAGTGCGAAGTTTAATTAATTACGTGAGAAGGATTTACCTAGCAGAGTTGCCATTGTTGTTATTACAACCACAAGTTGCACATGTGGAGCAGGATGGCTTTTTCAACCCCATTAATTTGATTCGGACGATTCGTAGTTGCAGCCTTATTGATTAATCAAAAATTAGTCCACAAGGACGTACACAGATATAAACTCAAGGCGCCGGGGAGAGTGAATGAACAAAAGATAACAACTTAGCATAGAACCACAACTGATTGAGGAAACCTTTTTCTAACAAAGGTTTTGGTCCTTTAAAAAACTGAAATAGAAACTAACATTCGGTCATAACTACCGCTACCTTTACCGACCATGGTCATACCAACCATGAAATGTGCACACATGTTATTTTTATACTCTCTTTGTACCAAAATGAGATCGTTCATTAACAATCTAATATTAGTCACTGTGTGTATGTACATATCTATATATCTAAATAGACTAGTTAATTGAAATTTTTAAAGTGATAATTTAATTGAAATTTTTCATCTTTCGTGTTAAATGTACTTAAAATGAATCTAAATAGAATAATTATTTTAAGACATAAAGATTATATAATTTATTACTACTCGTGAAAGGCGTAGATTCTACCATATCAATTCATAATTATTCTACCATATGAATCTGTAAACCTGCAATAATTAATTGGGTTTTGGCGATATTGGAGTCCACGCGTGAGCGTTTACGTATTTAAAAAATCCTAGCTTGCTCCGCAATAAAAATCTCCTTAAGATTTACTTTTGTTTTCTCTCAAGATGCCTAAAACACCTTTAAGATTTGATAAGTGGATTCGGATTCATTATTTTTTATTAACTAGTTAGTACAATGAAGTTTAGCACGTTGAAATATACATTTTCTTTTTGTACTAAATATATATATATATATATATATATTTATATTCTCTTCTGAGAATGACCAAAATTATTTTGTAAAAAAAAAATGTGATGGACCAATTAGGAACCGATATACATATGAAAGGCATAAACTTTTTTTAACCATAAAGAAAAAAGAGGCATAAAAATTTTCAACATTCTTCGTAATTGAGTAGCGAATAAAGAAGAAATATTCATCACTAAATAAATGGCTAAATGCCTAAATCTATACTCTTAACTTTAAAAGGATACATTCTATGGGGATTTTAAATTAAGATTTAGTTATGAATATGAACAGTTGACAAAGAAAGCAGTTGATGAGTATCGATTACCGAAGGTTGTTAGAGGTCACTTATGCGAAACAGGGCGTGTCGATATATTTGGAACATAAATTTTTATTTTTTTTTGGAGGGTCATTTGGAACATAATTAAATTCAATAATAAGAAGAATTATTTAGAGGGTTGGCTTATCCGATTAGTCCAATGTCCTCCATATCAATCTGCCTGTGTCATCTTATGGATAGAAAATGCTGTTAGATTGTTATAAATATATAACTATTTTTATTTTTATTTTCCTTTTTGTGTGTGTATGTGTTTCCTCCATAGCTTTGCTTCAAAAACCATTGTCTTGTAGCGGTTGTAAGGTAATATGGTCTACAAAGCTATGCAAAGTGTATGATCTGCCTCTTATCTCATTTCTACCTAAATTCAGATATTTGATACTCAGAATTCATTTAAAACTAATATATTCTTTTACTTATTTTTTCTTAACATTTTTCAATATATCAAATGGTATTTTCTAACTAAAAATTAGGGCAAAAAACACTATGTGCATTTGAGAAATCCAAGTTTGTTACAAGTGATTGAGTTTCCGAGACCTCAATTAATATAATTTGTTTCGCTGTCAACGAGAAATAATTTTGGCAGTCTGGACATAACATCTACCTCCTTTTCATCTTTAATTTGTTTGCGTTGCAATACTTCTTCGATGGAGTAACAAACACAATTAATTAAGGGAGGCTATTCCGTTTGGATCGTTTGGAGAAAGCCATAAAAAGAGATGGGTCTGTACCTTCATGATAGCCCATCTCGTCTGGGCTGAGAAGGTATCTGGAAAGTATAAATCGCATCAATAAGTGCTGATCGGCTTTAGCTCATATTATGCTTTTGATTATTGCTGAAGGGATTAGGAAAAGAAAAGATTAGAACAAGAACATTCATTTTATCAAAAAAAAAAAAAAAAGCGTCAGGCGATTATGATGATATATTCATTTCAATAAAATTGTTCCCCCGACTTAATTTGAAGTTTGAACCACTATTTATAGTGTCAACAATAAAATTTTTAGTTTTACTACTCTTTTGGCTTCTTAAAAAAACCAATGTGAAAACCGCTCAAGTCCTTTATATCATAAACTTAAAAATTCTCACATAATTTTTTGCTTGTCTTTCACTTTATAGTTTGTGAAATGTGGAAGATTATTCTAGCTACTTGATCGAAAGGAGACAAATTTAAAGAAAAAAATTGTGGCCTCCATGTCCCAAAGCCAAGCCATGCATTCCACCCCCCAACCCCAAGTGTCCATTGGCAAACAATAATTCTAACAAATGTTAATAGAATACTACAAAAGTGCAAATCATTCATCGTTGACGATCAATGATAAGAGAAGAACCTAAAGTGGCGTCTCAAAGTACATACTCATTAGTCAATAAAGAGATAGCATTTTACAATAAAACACAGAAGCATTTTTATTTTTTATTTTAAAATTTCCATTTTTATTTTTTTTTTTGGTTGTTTTGGATGGAAAGTGATGTAGTCTTTACTGGAATGTGTTTTGTCCTTTGTGGAAGTCGGGCTGTCAAATTGCAGTAATGGGCGCTCTATCAAGTTCAAACAACTTTAATTAAATTAGGATGAAAATTGATTAAACAATAATAAGCGTTGACGAAGGGCAGACCACGATCCATCTATACCATATCAACTGAAATTATACTCTCTCCATCCCACAAAAATAATCCACATTAAGGTTTGAGTTTTATATTGTTTTTAATATAAATTTGAAAACTCAATGTGGACTATTTTTTTAGTACGGAGATAGTACTTAATTAATTACTAATTAAATTACTACTAGAAGACAAGAAAAAAATTGGTTAAGCAAATTTGAAACGAGAAGAAGATGATAAGATGAGACTTAATCATCTGGGTAATGAGGATGAAGCTTGTGTCTTTTGGTTTTACACTTCTTTTTTGGGACTAATGTATTTAAAAATCGTAGCTAGTGAGCACTTTCGACATTGTTTGTTCATTGTCTTTCTATATTTGTTTTCTTTTTCTTTTCACACTAATATAATATTAGCCATTGACAATAGCTAGTAACTAATCAATTCGTTAAATTATAAGTATTTTTTTTCCTTTTTTTCTTTAATTTTATATATATGTTGTAATAATGTGGATATATGTTTGCAATTTTGTAATATTAAATATAGTAGTTTGGAGTAATAATAATCAAGGCACACTAATGAAAATGGCGATTGGAGAATTAGTGACAGAGTACGCTGTTCTCTGAGGTTGGATACAAACAGAAAATGACGCCGCCCGAATCAAGAACGTATCTATCAGCATCATCAACTATATTATTACATAGGATTGGCATTCAGGCTAAGGAAGTTCGACCGTGTTGAGAACGTGACTACGCATACGAGATCGATAAATTTACAACTAGAGTCTTCTTTTCTTTTTTTGTTAAATTGAGTTTTTAGCATAAAAAAGCATAACTCTTACAAGTTACATGTATGAAGCGGAAGGCATACTAATTTGTTATACTTTTATGAATCGAAAAATTACTTTGTAAATTGTACCATCTGTGAGTTATGTACGATCAAGATTCTTCTGACCCCAACGAATAGAAATAAAATTTAAAGAGCCAAGGATTTTGGGAAAACATGAGTAAGCCACAACTCAAATAATAATATGGTCACGTCCATGTACAGAAATCATGAAACCAAATTAAGGGCCAAGACTAAATCTTCGTGCGATAAATGAAGAGTTAAAACCATATATATATACATGAATGAGTAAGCATATAACAAACGATGTTGACCGGATTGTGAGAACGAAACGATTACTTCAATATACCAACTAATTGACACTCTATTTAATCTTGATGGTATATCCAATCCAATACGAGAGAAAGGTCAAGCTTGTCAACACTTCTGCTCTACTTTGGAAAATTAACTTTCTCTCTTTTATGAGTTTATCTTTACTTTTGACTTAGCATCACACACCAATTCATCCCACTCAATTCATGCCTGATTTTTTCTTGTCCCACAAACTTACTTTCGACCCATTCTAATCCTTTCGGTTTCATCATCCTATTTGTAATTTCATCCAAACGTAAGATATATTTGTGCTTAATTTTCAATGATGTTGAGATCATCTCTGCTAAGTGTTGAGTTTTAATTCTACCGTGGATTGTTTCTGTAACATCGGACTTTAACTCCTTGAAGCTCAGGAAGGGAGCATATCGGAATGGTTCAAATTGGAGATCTCTCTCTCTCTCTATATATATATAAGTCACACTGATAATTCATGCAGAAACTAACCTGATTAATGATGCAATTATTAATTGCTTTTTTTAAGCTAACCTTGATGACTGACGCATAAAGTTAGAGTGAGGAAAATTAACAAATACACCGATCGAATTGTCATCTCAGCTTTTTTAATCCCAACATATAACGTTGTTGTAGCATAAGCGCATGTGGTTTTGTAGCTGTGTGACAAATGCTAACACTATATACAGATAGCTCTTTCCTGTTGTTGCAATAAGAGTTAAGGAAGAAAACGCCTAAAGAGATGGTGCCATTTTCTTAGATCCCTCCATCGATGTGTTGCCAAAAATTATGTAAGCCCATTTTGTAATTCATTATTAATTAATCATTCCCCCTTCTTTTTATCCGAAAAAGATACTACACATTAATTAAATTTACCCCATTCCACATAATGCAAACTTGTTTTGTAACCGTACTGATCAAATAGAATCAATAAAAACTAGGTGAAGAGTAATCCAGAAGCAATATGGCCGCATGCAGACGAATTAAACCAGAAGTACGTAACGCACGTACAGATAGTGAAATAAAAGACCAGAATCAGAAATACTTGGAAGATGATAGAGGCGCTTCAGTGAAATTCCGTATCTATTAAAGTAACAAAATAATCAAAGAAGTAATACAAAAAATATACGAATCCCAACAAGCAAGACTTATTAAGATACAAAGAATAAATGTATTTGAAGCTAATTAAGTAAGCCCTTAAATTTCTAAATTAAGCTAATAAGAGAGCAACAAAAAAAAAAAAAAAGGACGAACAAATATCACATATCCATCATTGTTGTAATACAGTTTGGGGCTGCATAGTGAAATGGCTGGATTCGTGAAACAGAAAGCCTTGTGGAACAGAGGAGGATTCCGGGTAGATGATTTGGTGGTAGTAATTGTAGGCCATGGAAGAAGGAGAATAATTAGTGAGATTGTTTTTAGTGACGTGATGATGATGATGATCAGCTTGCCAACTGGTGGAACTCGCCGGAGAAGTTGAACAGCTGGTGATTGTGCTTCTGTTGTTGTGAACCATCTCCAGATGATTATTATTCACACCGTAATTCATTTCATTCTCGAATATTTCTCCGGGGAAGTACGGAACACCACCAGCTAGGTCTGAAGAAATCGCCTCGTAATCAAACCCCCCGGCGGCGGGGTAGCTGTAGTTGGAATTGAAGGAAGTAGCAGCTGAAGAAGAGATATTCTCCTTGTTTGTAATTGTAATATTGTGATATGGGTAAAGTGTGACATCCTGATCATATGGATAGTTATTATTAGTAATATTATTATTACTAATAATGTTGCAATTCCCTTGTTCCAAGTACCCCAAGTTTGTGAAAGAAGAAGGCTGGTGAGGATCTTGGAAATGGACGGCTTGTTGTTGTTGTTGTTGTTGTTGTTGTTGTTCAAGCTTTGGAACATGAAGTAGTGATGGTGGTGGGAAGGCCATCATCTGTGGATTTGGGATGGAATTGTATAAACTGATGTCTTCAGAAGTTACTAAATTCTGCTTTCTTTTGGGAAATGAACGAGGCCTTGGATCCTTGCTGCGAGTTTTGCCCAGTAACTTCTTCTTCAGCTTCGTATTCCAGTAGTTCTTTATGTCATTATCAGTTCTCCCCGGCAGCTGTCCCGCGATAATAGACCACCTTTTACACATTTGACACAAAAACACATGATTATTACAAATTCAAACGGATCATCATCATCATCATCATCATCATCAAGGAAATGACCAAAAAAAAAAAAAAGAAAGTTGGGAGAATTACCTGCTTCCTATGCTCATATAGAGGCTGCAGATTATGGTGTCTTCTTCTTCTGAAAATCCGCCATGCTTTATGTTTGGCCTCAGATAATTCAACCATCTTAGCCGACAACTTTTCCCACATCTCTTCAGACCTTAACAAAACAAACAAAATTAATGAATTAATGCACTAAAAACTCCATACCAAATATTAGAAGAGACTCATGTATGGTATTTTTTTTTTATTTTTTTTTTTGGTACGTACCTATTTTCTGGGGTAAGGCAATCCAGTTGCCGCCAGTGCCAAATTCATCAATGTAGGATTTGAGTTTAGCATCTTCTTCAGGTGACCATGGACCTCTCTTCACATTGGCTTTGTCGCAACAAGGTGCTCTTCCCATTTTTTGAATATTGGTGCTGAGAAATGAACCAACTTGAAATTTTGCTTATTATAATTTGTTGCGATTTGCCTGATGAGGATGATTTTTTTGCTCTCTGACCACTAAAGTTAATTTGATTATATAGAAGTGGAGGTGGGCTATATAAGAGAGAAAGGAAAGGGGGAGAATATAATAGCTGGAGAAGGAAAGACATAGGATATGGGGGGATGATCCCCCAAATTCAATAAAGGAGGAATTGGAAAAAGAATTAATTAAATAAAGATGACGGGAACTTTACTGGTGAGATTAAATAATAATAATCATGTAGAAAGGCAATTTGATTTAATATAACAATAGTATAATTTGCTAAACAAAGAAAATGAGATGAGACTTGAAGAGTTGTTTTCCTATTGTCTAATTCCAGAGTCCAGAATCTCTTATTTCTATCATATAATTCAGATTTCAGGGACGACATCCATCTTGACGACTGTCTTTGTCTCCAAAACTTCCAAACAACACACTCCCAAACAACATACTATCAAACACGCTAACCGTCAACATCTATTTTTTTTAATCACCCTCATGCTTTTCATCCTCATCGTTCATTTTCATATCATCATCTCATTTGATTGATTCATACTTACTGTTTTGGTGGTGACCCCAGCCATTGATCATTATCTCATCATTATTCAATGGAAAACCGAATATATATATATATATGTATATATATATGTACATGATGTTCTTTTTAATTTATCCACCTTGCTAGCTAGGTTATAGTAACATGCATGGTGACTAGTAATTATTATGGTTTTTAAAAAGTGGGTAAGAGTAATCGGAGAGATATCACGCTTATGCTTCAAAACTCCTTTTTATCTTTCAAAAATTATTATTATCCAGTTTAAAATTTCACTTTTACTTCAATTTATACTAAAAATAAAAAGTTAAATTAGATCATAATTTTTTACCGGAGAGAGTACTTTTTTCGAAGTCTAGTAAGTTCTGCTAGCTAGGAAATGGATAGATCGAGATATGTTATAGATCAGATTGTAAGCGTACTCTTTAATATACGTATTTTGTCGTCGAACCCTAAAGACTAGAAGCTAATTAATGAGCATTCAACTAAATAAACCCAAAAATTGTCAAACAAAACAACTGCTTTATTTGGGAGGGAAAAAGTATGAAATGTATGGGTACTTGATAGTTTAAATATGAGCTGATTAATCTATGGTGGTAATCATATGATTTTGAAGAAAGGATTAAGAAATGATAACTTGTGTCTGCGGGGGAGACCAGACGAAGACAAGAGAATGTAGATGCCACCAGATAGATATCAACTAATTAAGCAGCCAGGCAGCTAGCTAGCCCGCCCTACTTGGCTGCCTGCTTTTCATGTAGCAAACCCCGCAGTTGAATTTAGAAACACTCAAAAACTTATTTTTGTTCTTAGGATAATTTCTAAGAAACCCTCCATCTCCCGAAAGTTAACTTCAAAATCTACTTCAGACCAACCTACGAAAATTAAAGATTCATTTAAAAAATAAAAAATAAAAAGATTGGCCCGCCCTTATTAATATCATCACTGTAGTTAGTGATGGTAAGAAGATCCTCGGAAACTTAGTTCATGGCTGCTGTTCCGGCTTTCATATAGGCTTTCTATTTAGTTAATTAGTATGATTATTATTAATGTAATAGCTTTTTGTTACAGGGAAAAGTGGAAATAATGAAACAACTTTCCATATGTTGGGATCTCATTTTTTTATGGTTCATTCATCATCGTAATGAGCGGCCGATTCTATGTTCAAACCTTTGGGGCTTCGTATGAATTGGAATAATTTAAGGTAGTGATGATGATGAATCCGTTCGAGCGCATATTTCACAATGACGCACGCACACAATTAATGGCAAGTTTTTATATATGACCCTACACACCATTGAAATATAATATATATATATAGGGGGGAAAAATATTATGATGATGTAATTGGGGCTACGTATAACCAGAAAATGTATTATAAGTTTGACGTTACCAAAAAAAGAAAAAAAAAGAAGAGAAAAAATAGTAGAAGTTTGAGTTTTAGACATCTGCCTAATTAATTAGTTGTAAGAAGGAAAAAATAAAGGACAAATCATTGATTTATAAGTTAGGAGTACTACTGTATTAGTCTTCTAAATCTTGGGAAGATAGTAGATGCTAATATTATTGGCTTTAGGCAGCGTCGGAAATATTGCAATGAACATGTAATCAATTAATCAGTCCAAACGACTAAAAAAGCAGATAGACCAATAATGCATCAATATTGGAAACCCGAAATGGAAGGGAGCTAGGGGTTGAACTAGCAAAAGAAAAGGCAGTGAATACGTGCATTGATAAGATTAAAGACAGGCAAACGGGATGAACCCAAAGCCCTTCATTTATTAATTATGTATTGATTTGAGCCTCTGACTAATCAGCATTGACATTGGGATCATCGATATTGCTTGGAAAATATAGTCAAAGACCTCACTTCTTTTTCCTTGTATAAACGTGCATCGGATTCAAAACCAAGACGGTTTGTGTTGTTGGGATTAGCTAGTATCATGGTAGTACTGTAATGGTCAAATGTCAAGGTATTGACTGACTGAAACATGGCGGTATACATAGTATTCAATCAATATTCATTCTGTTTCAAAACAAAAAAAAAATAATCAATATTCATTCCACGGGAGGGGAACAAGCAAATTACATCGTGGACCATCATAAGACCATATATATATACTATATAATAAGAACAAGTGTTTTAATTCATGCATGGCTACATTGGTAGATTTCTCGTACTTACGTATGTCTCACAACTCACCATAGAGATGGATGGAGTACAAAGAACGAGTCACTTATGATGATGTGAGCAGCAACCGCCAAAACAGTTTTAGTTTTACCGGTTGATATTATGAGAGAACCAGTTGGGTACGAGAGTTGTACGAGATTATTGTTCAGATTAGATTTTTAGTTTTAATGTAATTTGTATTAAAAATAAAAATTTAAACTGAATAATTATTTTGAAACTTAATTAGCATATAAAACACATTATTGTTCTCTTATTTATTTGATCAATAAAATAGACTATTTTAAAATTTTAGGTTATATAAGTAATTAACTGCAATATCATCCGGGCCATGCTATTGTTAGGGTTTTCAAAAGGAGTTTTTTCAGGAATTAGGTGGGGAGGTATAAGCCTGAAATGCATATGCTCTTCTTTTTCTAATAGTACGTATCTGTTTTGATGAAATCTTCAGTTTCACAATACTTGTACGTCCGAACCAAACACAACTTGCGTCCTTTCCTTCGTTTTGTTTTTTTATGGATTGAGGCAGCAGCAGCCAGACACTCTTCAACGCTAGTTTTAGTTTTATTATTTCTTTAACCTTTCTGAATAGGGGAAAAAAAAAAAAAGTAGTAGTAATATATATAGATATATATTTAATTTTATATCACAGCTGTAAGTTCTATTGGGGGAATCCAATCCATAGTGTCAAGTGTCAACGGTAAATAAAAGTCGCAAGTAGCGCATTTGACGAGCTAAAAGTTTCCATGGTAAAAATTTCCATGTTTTCACGTGCCTCTCATTCTAGAACCATTTGATCAGTAGCCTGAAAATGTCAAGATTAGAAAGCTTCCTGCTCTCTTACACATATAAACATAATTATAATAATATAAAGATGGGAGTTTTTTTTTCCTTGAGATTTGTTTTGCACGGATAATTTACCAGGGATCAACAAATTGCAACCTTGATTGTATGGGGAGTACAATATCAATATTCTACTAAGAAACTACTGGTGTTATTCTCTTTTGCGATCTATGCAGATTTTTTGTTTTGGCTTAACATTTAATTTCACGAGAAGTATGATTATATCTATATAAAAACGATGTACTCCCTCTGTTTCGTAATTATTATCCAGTTTGGGTTTTCATTTCTAGTTCAAATTATACTAAAAGTAAAATCTCAAACTGGACAATAATTTTGAGACACGGAAAATATGATTTCAATTCCTTGGATTATCACCTAGTATTTGGAAGCATTGGTTTAAGCATTTTCGCCCGAAGCTGTTGTGATTGGTGACACATATTCAAATCATTCTCGCTTTCTGATACAAGCTATCCAGTTCAAATCCAAATTACATGGTCTAATGAAAACAAACGTTGATATATCTATATTTCATTAGATTTTAAGCCAAAAAAAAAATGAGAGTCCAATTCAGCTATTATCAATTCTTAAAGAAACTGCAAGGATCAATCATTAAACAAGAAATTTATTCTGAATTGAAAAGAAGGTAAAGTTGAATTAGACGAGAGGGAGAAGAACAAAGCTTAGTTTAGCAAAGGAAGTCTGGAAAAAATGAAACTGTCGTTCATCCTTTTTTCTGTTTCAAGTATATACATATATAAGACTTAGTCAACAATAACCGACTAAGATTTTTTATTTACACAATGAGGACTTATACTGGAATATTCTAGGTAATTGTTGAATCATAATCTCCCTGCTTGTGGTCACGTGATTTGTGATCTTCCAAGCTGGCAGAATGACAACCTAGAAACACATGACAGAAAATAGTATGCTCTTGCTGCTGCTATGAGCTTTGTTCATCCAAAGCTTGATCACTCTTTCTCCCTCCCCCTCTCCCCCTCCCCTCAAGAGGAGCATCCCAAAGGCTCATCTTGGAGAGTAAGAAATTGAAAACCGAAACTGGAAGAGCTTTAGTAAAAAAATCTGCAAGTTGGTGAGAAGTGCTAACATGTGTGGGGAAGATAAAACCAGCCTTGAATTGATCACGAACAATGTGACAATCAATTTCTATATGTTTAGTCCGTTCATGAAAAACGGGGTTAGCTGTAATGTCAAGAGCAGCTTTACTATCACAACGAAAACCAATAGGCAGAGGAATATCAATGCAAAAATCTCGAAGCATAAAAGCAAGCCACTGAATTTCACGAGTGGTGGCAGCCATGGCGCGGTATTCGGCCTCCCCAGAAGAACAGGAGATAGTACTTTGTTTCTTAGTTTTCTAAGAAACAAGGCTACTGCCAAGCATGATACAGTAACCAGACAAGGAATGCCGGGAGGAGCGACAAAATCCCCAATCCGAATCACTATATGCAAGCAAGGACAGAGAAGAGGAACTGGAATAAAACAAACCACGACTAATGCAGCAAGAGAGACACCTAAGGACATGAGTAGCAGCATGCCAGTGAGAATCATGAGGACTATGGACGAATTGACTGAGCTATTGAACAACATAAGTAATGTCAGGTCTGGTATAATTCAAGTATAACAGGCGCCCAACTAAGCGGCGGTAACGTGATGGTTCAGAATAAAGAGGGGTGGCATCTTTATCAAGAGACTGAAAATGCAGTCCAGGAGGAAAAGGGGTAGAAACTGAGTGATAATCAAGCAGACCAAC